GCTCACTGCAAGCTCCACCCCCCGGGGTTCATGCCATTCTCCTGCCTCAGCCTCCTGAGTAGCTGAGACTACCAGCGCCCACCCACCAGGCCCAGCTAATTTTTTTGTATTTTTAGTAGAGACGGGGTTTCACCATGTTAGCCAGGATGGTCTCGATCTCCTGACCTCATGATCCGCCAACCTCGGCCTCCCAAAGTGCTGGGATTACAGGCGTGAGCCACCTTGCCCGGCCTCGAGCCACAGCAATCTTTAACTAGGGACTATGAAGAAAAGGAGGGATTGATCTTTTTTTCATTATCCTAGAAGGCAAAGCAAAAACCAATGGGTTTAAGTTACAAGAAGTTAGATTTTTGTCAACAAGCAAGAATTTTCAAACACTTAGGGGGAAAAATGTAATGTAAAAAACAAAGTGTTGAAGCAGAAGCTGGAATTTGCTCCTCTGGAATGTTATCAAGGGTAAATCATGTATCGGGGTCACACTAGATGACCTCTAAGGTCTTTCCAACTGTAAGATTTTGTTAACTTAGACACCAGGGACCAAGTATCTTATAATCTCGTTTCTGAAGTTGCTAATTATACTTTTCTTTTTTTGAGTTGGAGTCTCCCTCTGTCACCCAGGCTGGAGTGCAATGGCATGATCTCGGTTCACCACAACCTCTGCCCCTCCTGGGTTCAAGCGATTCTCATGCCTCAGCCTCCCAAGTAGCTGGGATTACAGGTGCCTGCCACCACACCTGGCTAATTTATTGTATTTTTAGTAGAGACAGGGTTTCACCATGTTGGCCAGGCTGGTTTCGAACTTCTGACCTCAGGTGATCTACCCGCCTCAGCCTCCCAAAGTGCTGGGGTTACAAATGTGAGCCACCATGCCCAGCGCCCCCCTTTTTTTTTTTGACCAGTCTTTTTTTTTTTTTTTTCAGATGGAGTCTCACTGTCGCCCAGGCTGGAGTGTAGTAGGTTGATCTTGGCTTAATTCCACTTCCCAGGTTCAAGAGATTTTCCTGCCTTAGCCTCCCAAGTAACTAGGATAACAGGTGCATGCCACCACACCTGGATAATTTTTGTATTTTTAGTAGATGAGATTTTACCGTGTTTTACTGTTGGCCAGGCTGGTCTTGAACCACTGACCACAAGTGATCTGCCCACCTCAGCCTCCAAAGTGCTGGGATTACAGGCGTGAGCCACTGCACCCAGCCAAGTTGCTGATTATACTTAAGGAAGCACACTAGACAATTGAGAAGGATGGAACATACATTCTACTTATATACAAATGTAAGTGAGTATCTTATATAAAGGGGAAAATAATGTGTTACTCTTTTTTATTGTGGAAATGGATTTCTTTTTCCAATGTTTCAAATATACAAGCAGAATTGTTTAATGTTTGCCAATAAATATAATAAATTGAAGCAGAAGTTCAAAAATTAACAGCCACAATAGTTTATTTACAATTGAACTCTTTATAAGATATTTACAAGACAACCAATTTTACACATCAGAAATGGTATCAAAAGTTATGAATTACAACACAGACAACAATATGAAATGGGCATAAAACAAAGCTGAAGTAGACAGACAAGCAATTTTTTTTTAATTTATTAACACTAGCTTAAACTTTGTTAAAGAAAAACAAACAACTATGTTTTAGGAGAACTGCAGGGCCTTCAGTTGAAGATTGAATTCACAGTGTTGTATCCCATGTAGGGAAAAATAAGACTAATTTTCCCCCCACACTCTAACACACTGTAATTTTGCACTTGGAACTTTGCTAATCTACTCTCCAACCTCCTTCTCAACAAAGTCAAATCAAAGGAGAATTAACCTAGAAGACGGGACAATAAAATAAGAGGTCCTCAGGGAGAGGGAGAACCAAGGAAATAGAATCTACTTAAGTCTGGCCAAATAGCACCTCGTGGATTCTTCTCAGTCTACTTCAAGTCAGAAACTGGGGAGTCCCCTGGGTAGGGCACAAACATAATGGTTAAATTTGCTAACTCATATCCAAAATTAGGAATCTGACACATGCTGAAATCAAGAAGAAACTGAGAGGGATCAAAGAACAAAGTTAAGAGACACTGATTGCGTCTTTCTTCTTTTTGGACACGTTATGAAGAAATATAACATAGGTAAGAGTAAGAAAAATTGAACATCCTGCCACATTAAAATGATGGAGAACAAAGAAAATCTGGCCCAGTTTTTCTAGAAATCTCCTTCTCCTTAAGGTGTGAGATGAGAGCCCCTAGTGGAATTAAGTCCTATTTCTCTCTACATCCTTGCTGCAATGAAGTTTACAGCAGGTTCCCTTATAGAGAGCCCACTCTCCTAAGCAGATGGAGTTACAAATGAAAACCCATAGCCACACACACACACACACAAAAGGAGAAATAAGAGCAGCAAGATCATCCAAGAATACTACATGTGCTGCCAGAATAATTCCTTTAAAAGTCAAATCCGGGAAGCACAGATCAACATCTCACAAAAAGCTTTAGCAGTGGGAGGCCCCTGAGGAACTTTTCTTCTCTTCTCACAATGGTATCCCATTCTCTCTCGTGCTCCACTGATGGGCCAGCCACACACCCTACATACCTTGGCTTCTCCTCTAAAAGTGCTAATAATCTGGGGACATATTCTCTTTAAGGATAAAAGCCCCTACCTTCTAGGAGATTAGACCCCTACTTGTTTTCACACAATAGTCCTGAAGACTAAAGAAAGGCAATTCCTATATATTTGAGACCAGAGGTCTTGGCTCTATTTTCCTTTCAGATAGTTAATAGGGATCTTACACTGAGACCAAAGTGGCCTGGGAGTGCTATCCTGATAGTTTAACAAAATGGGGGAGGGGAGAGGACCAAGATGGTACACATACAAATCTTATTTTTACAAAGTGAATGGAGAAGCTCATTAGGTACATCTGTTTGTTTCAAGATGTAGACATTTGCCAGCCAAAGGAAGCACCTATTTCCACACTCTCCCTCTACCCTCCTTAAGTCTCTATCCCACCACCAAGAGCCCAGCTAAAAGGATGAAGCCCAATGAAGGAATACTTGAGAAGTGATGTGATACAAGGACATCTATACAGGTTTTGGCATGCCATCCCAAATGCTAACTGCTTTTGTTTACAGCTGTAACTTGTTCTGAAACTAACCATCCCCACTTTCTTTTCCAAATATTTTGTTTTTTGAGGGGTAAAGAAATTCAGTTACCCATTAACTGAGAAAACAATCACAGCCAAACATCCCTTTCCACATGACTGTATCACAGAATAGTTTTAAGAGAACAACTATCTTCACAGTTATCTACCAACTCTCCGATGTCTTTTATACTCTGTGAAGATGGCTTGCTTCATCGCTTCACTTGTCATTCCTCATCTGGTCCTAAAGCTCATGGTGAGGTTGTTTGTTTTGTTTTAGGGTTAAAAATCACTATACCCACTATAAGGAGGGTGTACCAGGGTGAGAAGAGTGCCATGCAGGCACAGTTCTAAAGGAAGGGGTTGCTTCATCTTCCACATGTCTAATGAAGAGAGCCCTTTTACCCCTTTAACATAGGCAAATGTATAGAAACAGACCCCTGAAACTTCTGAATCTGCCAGCCTATAGCTTTAGCTTGAGAGCCCATTTCCCAAAAAAGGGAAAAGAAATCCCAATCACCCTCCATAACTCACAAATAGCCAAATGGAAGAGTTTTTGTGAAATCAGAGTGATGAAAACAAAGTCAAGGGAGTATGAAAGGGTATTATCAGCGAGTGATAACATATGTGAGGACAAAGGTCACATATACAGGTCTCTGCCACTCTCTGGAATGGCATGCTACAACTATCTGAAGACAAGGTTCTTGCCAGCACAGCTATTTCCTACACGTCCGGTGAGGTGTTTGCTTCTTCTGGATCTCCAACCTGCATCGGCTACGCTCATCCAACCAGGGTAGCTCAAAATTCCTGGCAAAAGAGGATGAAGAAATCAACTTGCAAGACTAGAAGGGATTCAGTGTGGACGTCATAGCAACTACAAAAATGTCACTATGTCCCTTACCACTCCTATCTCTGACTAGTTTGGAGTGTCTTTCCTGCCTCAAAGCCAGAACAACTGTGTACCATTAAAGTGATGGAATCATCTACTTCTATCTCAAAAAGCAATCCTTCTAATTATTGGCTTGGGACTCTTACTACAAAAGTTCATTGCCCAGGTAGCCTCATTTCTGTCAAAGACCCATGGCTATCCCTAAGCCACCTGGTTCCACCTCATATCTAGGCTTCCACGAAGTCTGAGAGGGATGTGTAGGTTACCTGGAAGGGGAGGAAAAAAACGTATACTTACTGTGGAGTTAATTTTGGTAATGGTCGTCCAAATGCTACAACAGGCAAGAAGGGGGTAATCATCAAACTTTCAACTATGGGAGAAAGTCAAACAGGAGCTTATTAGTAATATAGATGGGAAATGTCTAGAAGTTATATCTGCTCCAAAATACACTTCATTCATTCAGAGCAAGTTGTACCCTGGAGCCTTGCACCCTCCTCCTTCTTTGAAAAACCTATTCTTTTAGATGGACACAACTTACCATCATCTGGCTCAGGGAAAAATGAGGTAACCTCAGGCTCAGATTCCTGAATTCCTTTCTTTTTATACATTCTGAGCTGCAGTCGCTGTAAAATTCTTTGTTCCCTGATCCTCTGAATATCCCATCTGGGAAAAACAAACCAAACAAAACAAACAAACCCAACATTACTGTTTACGCAAAACCTGCTCTATAAAAACAACTCACACAATCCAGATGGTAGGAAGACTCCTGCTGACTCCTCTAGACAGGGTAAAGAGAAATGCCTGCCTGGTTAAAGGAGTGCTGTTTTAAGCCTACTGCCTAGATCATGTGTTGGTGTTCCACAGAAAGTAGAACTGAGGAAGGTCATACACAAAAAGAGGCCAAACATGTTTTCCTACAACAACTACCATTTCCAACTAAGATATTCAACCAACTGGGAAGCCAGTAATGTAAGAGTGTTAAGTGCTCCAAGATTCTCCACAGCATGAAAGAGGGAGGTCAGATTCCCTGATCCTCTGTCCTAGGTCCTAGGGCTCAGTTGTTTCCAGGATGGGCATCTCTGGCCTCACCTTTTCCTTCTCTTCTCATCCAGCTCCAGTTTTGCATGCCGCTTCGAAAACACACTGTCATCCAGGTTCTGTGTAAAGAAAAGCAGCTGATAAGCTATTTATCACCATGTATTATTAGTTACACACATATACTAATTTCCAGCTTCCAGGAATGTAAAATCTTTCACCTTCCAGTTCTACCTGAGTCTGTGGGTTCCATGGATAGTATGGGAACCTCCTGGTAACAGAATCAACAAAACACATACTCTTTTCCCCATCCACACCCTTTTAGAATCTCCAAATTTCAAAATCATTTCCTAACTTTCCAAGGTAAACACCACATCAAACTAAAACCCCCAGACTGCCATAAACTCTCCTCGCCTCCATACTTTGTAGGAATCTGACCTTAAAATAATCAAAACTTTAAGAGTCAAATGAGTTTAGAATATACAATTTTATGGCTGAGGGGTACATGCTTTTTTTTTTTTTTTTTTTTTTTTTTTTTTTTTGTGATGGAGTCTCACTCTGTCACCCACGCTGGAGTGCAGTAGTGCGACCTTGGCTCACTGCAACCTCCACCTCCCAGGTTCAAGCAATTCTCCCTGTCTTAGCTTCCCAAGTAGCTGGGATTACAGGCGTGCACCACAAAGCCTGGCTAATTTTTGTATTTTTAGTAGAGACAGGGTTTCACCACATTGGCCAGGCTGATCTCTAACTCCTGACCTCAGGTGATCCACCTGCCTCAGCCTCCCAAAGTGCTGGGATTATAGGCATGAGCCACCGCGCCCAGCCCTGACTTTTCTACTTAGCATAAAATCTATTTTGGGCTGGGCGCGGTGGCTCAAGCCTGTAATCCCAGCACTTTGGGAGGCCGAGACGGGCGGATCACAAGGTCAGGAGATCGAGACCATCCTGGCTAACCCTGTGAAACTCCGTCTCTACTAAAAAATACAAAAAACTAGCTGGGCGAGGTGGCAGGCGCCTATAGTCCCAGCTACGCGAGAGGCTGAGGCAGGAGAATGGCGTGAACCTGAAAGGCAGAACTTGCAGTGAGCTGAGATCCGGCCACTGTACTCCAGTTTGGGTGACAGAGCGAGACTCCGTCTCAAAAAAAAAAAAAAAATCTATTTTGAACACTACCTAGCTATTTATTTTTTAATCAATCACTTAACTACTCTGGACCTGTTTTTTCATCTATAAAATGAAGGAGCTGGACCAGATAATTTCTCAAGTTTCTGTCTGGCCTTAAAATTCTATTTAATTCATCCATAGTACTATGACATTTTCAAGTTATACCCTCATGTTCTATTTAATCTCTTACTCTCTTCAATTGACTGCTCTTGGTTACCTACCTCCAAAAGGTCTGAAGGATTTGGGTCCCTTAGAGGCTCTACTGAGTGGTCCCTCCAAGAAGGAACTGAAAAAAAAAAAAGAGAGAAAAAGAAAGGGAGGAGGGGTGGAACCACCCTTAAATCTAAAGTCGCACAACTATTCACTAGGATAAGAGGTCTCTCCCCAGATGAGACAAAGTTACCAAGTGATAGGAATCCATTCTATGGCCTCCCTGAAGCCATATTCAGTGTCCTTGCTATGGTATAAAAGAACCTAAAATGCCATTGCAGTCTGCCAAACTCAGGATCACAAAAACCCTAAACCAATACCTGACAATTCATATAATGGATGCTATAGCAGTTCCTGAAAAACAACTGAAATTTGTTGTCATTTTGAAGTCTATAGTAGTGTAATCAATCATACACCAAGAAATCTCACTCTCCCACATCCAGTGGATGGGGAATGCAGCTCCCAACCATCCACCATCCCACCAACCCCCACCCCAGGCCCAGCCAGCACAATTCCTATTCTACTCACCAGCCAAGACTGAAGTTTCTCCTGCAACACTTGATGGCATCAGACACCCTAAATAATGCAGGAAAGAAGAATAATCTCAGTGTAAAAAGAAAAAAAGCCCATACCCCAAATGGAGGAAAGGATCATCACTGAAGTTCTCACTAGGAAGCCATTTTGTTTTTTGAGTTGTTCTTTTGAGAATTTCTCTCTGGGGGAGGGGAAGAGGGAACAACAGACAAAAGAAAAGAAAATAAGCCCACCACTTTTTTTTTTTACACTGAGACGACTTCTTTTCTTCATTATTTAGGGTGGTTTCCCTGCAACAGTTGATGGCCAAGGATATCAAACCTTAAACTCAGAACATGGCAGGTGAGTAAAAGTTGACCCTATTTTTCAAATAAAAGATCAGTGTTCTCAAAACTTACATATGTAGTCTTCTTAAACAGCTCCCTCCTCCCTCCAAACAAACTACCTTGCTGGTCCAGCCTGAACAACATGCACAAAAACTTTGGCTCCCCTAGAACAAGCCATTGAGCCTTCCTCTTGAGATAGGGGCATCAAGAATAAGGATTCACATGTTTATTCACAACTCAGGCTCCTCAAGGGGCTGGGATCTCCCCAATCAGATTCCTTTGTTTCACTATGCCCACAATCTCAGAGGTGTTTGAAATTGTCTGTACTAGGGAAGATAGGATTTTCAAAAATAGCCAGTCACACAGAACAGCTCTGGACCAAGCCATTACCCAATCCCGGATGGGAAGTTGCTTCACGTTTCTCTTAAGTTGTTACGCAGCATTGCCATGGCAGCAAAAAAGGTTAACCATTAAGGAAGAACCTGTTCAACTGACTGAACCAACAAAAATCTGAACCTAGATCAGGATCCTGATCTAATGTACTCAAGTGTGAGGCCTAATAGAGGTTAGATCATTAAGATGACTAATCTAGCTTTCCCACTTAATTTTGTCACCAAAACAGCCAAACAAAGCCTGGAGAACGCTCTTGTCTCACTGGAATGGATTTCTATCCCCATCCTGCTAGGCAAGACACAGTGGTAGAAACTTGGGACTGCGGCTCTATACTAGAAGGCCTCCCCAACCATTACCCCAGAGTAACCGCAGTGACTGACATAGACTAATATTACATGATTGAAGGCACATTCCAGTTACTGGTTGATGTAGAAGATAGGGGAGCATCTCTGTGTGGAAGCCATAAAGGAAAAAAAAGGGAATGAAGACCAAGGTCCCACACCCCACACCCTCCCCAAGCAGCTCAGATATCCCAAGATAGTCCTTATTGTTTGAAAAATAGTTTGTAGACCATTTTATTTAAATATATGAACAACCAATGGGCTACTGCAATCCAAGTAAACTCTTCACATTTTAGAACCTTTGTGAAGTATAGTAAGATAAAGTAAGACTGTTGGTCTTTGGCAGATTCCTCCTGCCCCCCAGACAGGGACATAGATATACAGATAAATGTTTATATAGTTAAAGAGCGGAGGCCCAGGTGAAAATTCCCCACCCCAAGCTGGCTCCCCAACCCAAAAATTACCATTGGCCCCTGAGAACACCCAAAGACCACCCTCCCAGATTTCACACAATATCAATTGCAGGAACAGTCGTGCATGGCAAAGTATAGTTCTATGCATTTCACAGCACAGAAAACCCTTCTTTCAGAGGGCATGCAAGTTGCCGGAGATTACACCCCCAAGTCTGGTGCTCTTGTGATGAGCAACTTACTGGCAAACACATCTCCCAGTGTTGTAAGCAGGCAAATACATTGAGCACATTTTGCTGTAATTCCATCTATTTGCAATGCCTGCACAGTGTCTGTCTCTGGCTGTTAACTTACTCATTCTTGACAGAACTCTGCTTTATTGATTGCACTTTTTTAAAAATGCCAAAGGCATTTTCACACTTGTTAGCTTGACCGCCACCACTAGGGTATAAGAGCAAGTGTTCTCTATGCCTTACTTGCTACAGTCTCCTCCTTCTTTGGAGAGGATTCCCGTAATGGTAACGGTGATGGGGGAGGCTGGTGCCAACGACACAAATACATTTCTGTGGTGGAAAGGTACGGCAAATCTTCTATCTCACTTGAGAAGGCTTTCTCCTTGGGATGGGTGCTGGGTCCCTTTTGGGGAGTGGAGAGTCTTGGTGGGGTGTCCACTGAAGACCGGGGCTTTTCTGGGGTTTCTTGGCTCCTCAATTCACGTTTACAAACAGTTTCAGATAAGGAACCACAGGGTTCCTCTTTAATAGGAGAGTGCTTAGGAGTTTTTGTTTTGACTTTTGAAAATTCAGGAGCCAGCTTTTTAACAGGAGTCTTTCTTTCTGTACTTCCAAATGGGGATTTCCTATTAGATAGGGAAGAAAACATTATAAAATATATTGACACTTGAATAAAATCTAATTTGAATACATTCTGGAGCAAAAGAATAAAATGGTTATTTTGCCCCAAAATGACAAGTATTCAGGTACCTAAATGTCTGGTGTTCATTTGGCAGTCATGAGCAGGAACAGCCCAGGCTTAGCAGTATATAAAATAGGCCATTAGTAAATTTTGTTTTGTTTTGTTTTGTTTTTTGAGACAGAGTCTTGCTCTGTCACCCAGGCTGAGAGTGCAGTGGCATGATCTCGGCTCACTGCAATCTCTGCCTCCCAGGTTCAAGCAATTCTCCTATCTCAGCCTTCCAAGTGGCTGGGATTACAGGCATATACCACCATACCTGCTTAATTTTTTTTGTATTTTTAGTAAAGGCAGGGTTTCACTATATTGGTCAGGCTGGTCTCGAACACCTGGCCTCAGGTGATCCACCCACCTAGGCCTCCCAAAGTGCCGGGATTACCGGCATGAGCCACCGCACCTGGCCAGTAAATGTTTGTTGAATAAGGAGTTTTCATGCTTAAGAATATTCAAGGTCCACCAGGTGCAGTGGCTCACGCCTGTAATCCCAGCACTTTGGAAGGCCGATGTGGGCGGATCACTTGAGGTCAGCAGTTTGACACCAGCCTGGTCAACATGGTGAAACCTCGTCTCTACTAAAAAAAATACAAAAATTAGTTGGGCGTGGTGGCGCATGCCTGTAATCCTAGCTACTTGGGAGGCTGAGGCAGGAGAATTGCTTAACCCTGGGAGGCAGGGGTTGCAGTGAGCTGAGATCACGCCACTGCACTCCAGCCTGGGCGACAGAGTGAGACTCCGTCTCAAAAAAAAAAAAAAAAAGAATATTATTCAAGGTCCTTTAGCCAACATCATTAGGTACCACTACAACCCACTACATTAGGTGCACCTATTTCCTGTAACCCAGAGATCAGTCTCTTTCCTTTTCCCCCCAACCCTGTACCACATTAATTATAACTTTTATTTCCTTTTTCTTGCTGTCTGCTGGCATTCTCTAGCCTCTTTCTTCCTCCCTTCTTCCCCTACCACATCTCAAGGAAGTCATCTCCCTTCCTCTTTACCAACCTAAATTTTATACTCCTTTTTTTTTTTGAGACGGAGTCTCACCCTGCTGCCCAGGCTGGAGTGCAGTGGCGCGATCTCAGCTCAGTGCAACCTCCGTCTCCTGGGTTCAAACGATTCTCCTGCCTCAGCCTCCCGAGTAGCTGGGACTACAGGTATGTGCCACCACACCCAGCTAATTTTTTTATTTTTCGTAGAGACAGGGTTTCACCATGTTAGCCAGGATGGTCTCAATCTCATGACCTCGTGATCTGCCTGCCCTGGCCTCCCAAAGTGCTGGGATTACAGGTGTGAGCCACCGTGCCCGGCTATACTTCTTTTTCAAGACTGATTTCCTACTTAAAGTTTCACAATTCTAACCCAGAATAATTTTTAATATCCCTGCATCTTACAAAACTTAGTTTAATGTCTGTAATCCCAGCTCTCTGGGAGGCCGAGGTGGGAGGATCACTTGAGCCCAGGAGTTCAAGATCAGCCTGGGAAACAAAGTGAGAGCCTGTCTCTATAAAAAAATAAAAAAAGTTAGCCAAGCATGGTGGTGAGTGCCTATGGTCCTAGCTACATGGGAGGCTGAAGTAGGAGGACCACTTGAGCTCAAGGGGTGGAAGATGAAGTGAGCCATGTTGGCGACACTTGCACCCCAGCCTGGGTGACAGAACAAACAAACAAACAAAAAACCTTAGTTTTTATCAGGTGTTGTACATCTACATATTTTACTGCATTTGAATTCTGAGTTTTCAAAATGTATGCCCATCCTTACAGTTGGGCTAATTTCTCTGAGTCCAAGGACAGTTCCATTTTACCTTTTTTTAAAAACTGAAACAGGGTATCACTCTGTCACCCAGGCTGGAGTGCAGTGTGCAGTGGTACAATAACAGCTCACTGTAGCCTCAACCTCCCAGGCTCACGGCCTCAACCTCCTGAGTAGCTGGGACTACAGGTGCATACCTCCAGGCCCGGCTAATTTTTGGATTTTTTGTAAAAGTGAGGTCTCACTATGTTGCCCAGGCTGGTCTCAAACTCCTAGGCGCAAGTGATCCCTCCCTCCCCACCTTGCCCTCTCAAAGGGATTACAGGCATGAGCCACCATGCCTGGCCTCTATTTAACTTTTCTATGTCTACCAGTGCACAACACAATGAAGGAATTTAACACTTCCTAACTTGAAGTGAATTGCTATAGTTTTAAGAAACTCAGCTGTCACACTTGTTGTCCATTCTTTTTATGATGTAAGCTGCATTCAATAATTATTACTGTGACCAAAATACTCCTAAGCAGACTTTTACAGTCCGCATAAGAATGTTTCAAGATAGTTTCTCAGCACAGAATACTTTAAAAAATTTTTTTTTGATGGAGTCTCGTTCTGTTGCCAGGCTGGAGTGCGGTGGCGCAATCTCGGCTCACTGTAACGTCCGCCTCCCGGGTTCAAGTGATTCTCCTGCCTCAGCCTCCCGAGTAGCTGGAACTACAGGCACCCGCCAGCACGCCTGGCTAATTTTTTGTATTTTTAGTAGAGACGGGGTTTCACCATGGTGGCCAGGATGGGCTCAATCTCCTGACCTCATGATCCATCCACCTCGGCCTCCCAAAGTGCTGGGATTACAGGTGTGAACCACCACACCAGGCCCTCAGCATAGAAGACTTCTAAAGCAAGTTATGATTGCTATAAAACAAATTCATAAATCCCAATAATCCCCTACTCTCAATCACTAGTAACAAGTGTCCTCATCAAACAAAGTTATCAGCACACCTTTTATGTCCCTTTCCACTCCGCCCACATGAGAAAGGCTTGGGAGGCAGAGTCTGGGATGTCTCAGAAAGCTCCGGCTGGCACTCCAGTTTAATTTTCTCAGATAGCTCTGTTTCCTCTCTCTCTTCAGTTTCATAGCCCTGAAACAGCTTGTGCCTTTCTTTCTCGTTATCCTTCTTTACCAGCTGCATCCGCCTTTCCATACGTTCAATCCGAGCAAGGAGCTAAAAGAGAGAGTAGCAAAATGCAGACTTAACACATAAAAAATTAAACACACAGATACTTAGCCCCATTTAGGAATCATATAGTCTTCTGCCTCTTTCTATGGACCACATCAACTCAACTTTTTAAATAGGCAGACGTTAATTTGAACAGTTTCCCTTAAACAAAAAAGAGAAGACAAGGTATACTGTTTAATTTTAAAGGCCAAACTAGATGGGAAGAGGCATGGGGGAATTTGTAGTTCATTCTTCTGTAAGGAGATCCTCTCCACTGGGAGGGACCATAACATGCCTTTTAATGGCATGGTCTCTGCTACTGCTATCCTTGTGGTTCCAAGTTGATTTGGGAGTTTCCAGAATTAATTGTATACATATTCTTTTTTTTTTTTTTTGAGATGGAGTTTTGCTTTTGTCACCCAGGCTGAAGTGCAATGGCTCACTGCAACCTCCACCCCGCGTTCAAGCAATTCCCCTGCCTCAGCCTCCCGAGTAGCTGGTATTTCAGGCGCCCACCACCACACTGGGTAATTTTTGTATTTTTAGTAGAGACAGGGTTTCACCATGTTGGCCAGGATGGTCTCTATCTCTTGACCTCGTGATCCACCCGCCTAGGCCTCCCAAAGTGCTGGAATTACAGTCTTGAGCCACCATGCCCAGCCTACATGTTCTTTTAAGAGGCCCTAAGATTGTCCAAATTCTATCCTCTCTACTTCTACCCCAAAACTCTATGCACAACAGAAAAGTGCAAACAGTACATTGAGAAGGAATTAAGAGCTCATACAGTGCTACCAGGAATGGCAGTGTTACTTGAAAGGGGTATGTGTGGGAGGGGGTACTTTTAAAACAATGAACATTTCATTTGGAAAATAGAAATCAGTACCCATAAATTCCAACCATCATGACATACACACATTGCTTTGTATTTGAGGTAACACAAAAAATTATACCTATTCATCTAAATATTTATTAAAATCAAAGTTCCTTTAGTTTTAATTAAAAGGACTAAAAATCTAAACAGAAAATGGAAGTCTATTATCATTGAAAACTTTGTGTTAGTTTAGTTTTGAGAAAAGGTGTTGTGCTACTTATACTCTATTACAAGAATTTTATCTGGGTTAGACAGTGATATTAATGCTGCCTTCATTACATTCATTGCATAGATTTCAGACAAGGCCAAACAACAACTGGAATAAGTGAAACAAGCTTAAGCAACATTAAAATTGCAATACACAACAGAAGCAGTGAGTACCAAGTTCTGACACTCTATCCTTAACTCACCCCACTTTTCCTGACTAGGAAAGCCTGCAAAGGGGCCATTACCTCAGGAACTGAGCAGAAACCTCCACCATCAGCAGAGAACCCCCCATCAGCCATACTCTCATTTCATCTCCTTGTATATGTTTTGATTCACAGCCCTTAACCACCGTTTGTGGGTGACATTTCCTTGATTTTTTCTCCTTCACTGGTCCTTGTCTTCCCACTCCCCCCCATAGAAGGATATGATCTGTTGTAATTACGGTACCATCACACCCCTAGACTGCAGTACAGTCTGAGCAGTGCCACCTCCATGTTGAGTAACTTCCACAAATCAACACCATGAGATATTTTAATGAGACGTGCCCCAGCTCCCAATCCACCTTGCAGAATGCATTCTCCAATAAAACAGCCACCCGATGCGATTCATTTGGAAAGCAAACAAAATGAATAGCCGCCTGCTCCCTTGCTCAGCTCTTAGCGCACACGACGCCAGAAAGAGGAGAGAGGGAGAGATGAGGACGGCGGGGAGGGAGGGAGAGAGCTCTTAGAGAGACAGACAGAGAGAGAAAGGGAGAGAGAGAGAGGGAGGGAGAGAGGGAAAGAGAGATTGCTGCAGCCTGAACACAACAATTGTAGAAACCATGTTTATTTTTAGGCAGCTGTAAGGTATGCTAGCACAGTAATACCCCCCACCCCTGACTCCCTCATATCTGAAGGAATATGTTTTAACGCGGAGGTGCCCTTAACTACTGTTGCAGTAAAAACAAGCCTGTGTCGTCCAAGCTACTCAGAAGTAAAGAAATAATAAACGACTTTCCTACTCCCTAAGATCCTAAAACAAGGATGGGGAGGTCTATTTAATACATTTAATAAGCTCACTTTCCCCTGATGCCCTAAAATCTTCCAGCTTCAAACACCATGCTTATACAAGGGACCTGGTCAGTGGGTCATGTATTAGAACTCAGGTTCCTATTAAAAGCTGTCTGAAATCAAAGGCAGTGCTTCTCTTAATATCATTTAAGAAAACTAAAATAGGATTCCATATAAATCACCTCTACCCCTGTGCCCACTAAAAGGCCTACTGCCCTCCTATCTAAAGATGCTGCAGCAGTGCTGAGAGCAACAGCTGCTTGCTACAACCCTCTCTCCTCCACCGTGCATTTCTAACGCAATAGCTCTTTAATTTAACCCTTCCATAAGGCCACAACACCTACACCCCACCCTTTCATTTTTAACCCCTCACAGATCAGGTCTTTTCCCACTAAACATCTTTCCCACACGTCTGGGGCTGTCATTTTAAATTAACCCTTTGGCACCTGAAACCCCTCCCCTTCCCCCTGGGAGGTTGCCCTTTAACCCTTCCCTCCAACCCAACGTGTCTGTGAGCCTGACTCTCAGAGACCCAGAGCCTAAGATACTCCTTTGCCGGTGGCCAACCTCCTTTACCCTTAACCCGGGGGTGCCTTAACCTCCTACAGCCCCCTTCCCCCGAGCATGCGCACAACTCGCTCCTCGGCCCGAATGCAGATTAACCCCTCCCGTACCGTGTCTCTCTCTGACTTCAGCTCCTCGATCTCCTTTTCCTTGGCCTGCAGCTGCTGCTGCTGCTGTTCGATGAGGTCCAATTGCAGCAGAAGGATCTGTTTGAGGCAGGCGGCCTGACTGGAAGCTCCCGAGCCGCCACCACCCCCGAGAGGGCTCTTCCTCATACTCTTCCATCTGCCCTCGCTGGCCGCCAGGGTCCCGGCGGTGG